TAGCTCAGTAGCTCTAAACCCAAGCTTGAACCCTAAAGTCTAAACCCAACCTTAAACCCTGAACCCTGAACCCCGAACCCTAAACCCTAAACCCTAAACCCTAAACCCAACCTGCAACTCTGAACCCCAAACCCTAAGCCTTAAACCCTGGCCCCTAAACCCTAAACCCAGAACCATGCACAGCAATACGATGGGGGTTTCCGAAATTAGCGGTACCTTCTTGGGTCCTGAATATAAGGGACTCCTACTATTTGGGGGTCTATAGTATATATATATATATATATGGGGTCCCTCATGTTCGTATACCCCCCCATATGAGCCGAGTGACAACGTTTCGACTCGCAGGTCCGGCTGCCTCAAACTCGGGGTTTTGAGGGTTTAGGGTTTAGGGTTTAGGGTCAGTGGGTTCAAGCCGCTCAGAGTCTTTGGCTCGACGGTAGTGACCCCCAATAAGTTTAGAGTATATAGGGGTCTCGGATATTAGGGGTACCCTGTTTGGGTTTCCCTTCAAGGGGGGATTCTATTCTAATTGGGGTGTACTGACAAGGGGGTACCCCTCTTTGGGGACATACCCATGTGGGGGATGGTAATCCCTAAACCCCCAAGCCACAGGCCTGATCTTCAGCTCCCCCAAACCCTAAAAGCCAAAATCCCTAAACCCCAAACACCCCGAAACCCTATAATCCCAAAAAACTCCCCTGAATCCCAAAACCTCTAAAACCCTCAAACTAAAACCCTAAAACCCCAAAACCCCAAAACCCCAAAACCCCAAAACCCCAAAACCCCAAACCCCAAACCCTAAACCCGGGGATGGTAATCCCTAAGCCCCCAAGCCACAGGCCTGATCTTCCGCTCCCCCAAACCCTAAAGCCCTAAATCCCTAAACCCCAAAAACCCCGAAACCCTAAACCCTAAATGGGATTTTTTAACGTGAAAACACCCCTAAATGCGGCCTGATCTTCAGCTCCCGCACGGTCTTGGCCACGTGGGCCGCGCCCTGGTCGGGAAGATCGTCGCGGTCGACCTCGGGGAGCTTTTGTGCTTTTTTGCATTGTTTTTTTCGAAGGGCTTAGGGTTTATGGGGTTTGGGGCTTTGGATTTTTACCTTTTTTCTGAGGGCTTGGGGTTTATAGGGTTTAGGGTTTGAGTCTTTTTACATTGTTTTCTGAGGGCTTAGGGTTTAGAGGGTTTAGGGTTTGGGGGCAGTTTTGGGTTTAGGTTTTGGGGGTCCTTGAGTTTGAGGGCTTGAGATTTTTGAGAGTTTCAGAGTCCTTGAGTTTGAGAGTTTGGGGTTCAGGGGTTGAGGGGCGAAGAGGTTGTGAAGTTGAGGCGTTTGAGTGGTTGAGGGTTGAAGGCTTGGGACTTGTAAGACTTGTGATCCTCACCCCCAGAAACCTAAACTCCCTAAACTCCCTAACCTCTCTAACTTCCCTAAACCCTAAACCCTAAACCCCAAACCCGAAACCCTAAACCCTAACCCCAAGAGGGCCAATGCCATCCCAGGAGCCATGGTAAGCACAATATAGTCGACCTTCCATCGCGTCACAGCCTCTGCGACCTTCGAAGCAGTGTAGCGTTGAGGAGCCAGGGTTTAGGGTTTAGGGTTTAGGGTTTAGGGTTTAGGGTTGAGGGTTTACGGTTTAGGGTAACCCTTTTTGAGGGTCCCTGTCAGGGGGCTTCTATTCGATTTTGGGGTAGAAGAGGGTACCCCTCGTTTGGGAAAAAGAGCCCTTCTACGGCTTCTACCCAAGACTGAAGAACGTTAAGATTTGGGGGCTTAGGGTTTAGGGTTTAGGGTTTAGGGTTTAGGGTGGGGGGGGGGGGTCCCCTCTTTGGGGGTTCCTAGAATAAGGATTATATTCGGGGTACCCCTACTTTGAGAAATCTTCCGTGTTGAGGCCTGGGTCCACGGGGGCCACAAAAACTTCTCAAGCAGCCATCTTGGATCTTGGTCCTTGGATCCCAACTAGTTTTGCGTTCAGGGTTTAGGGTTTTGAGCACAAGGGTTTAGGGTTTAGGGTTTCGGGATTAGGGGTTAGTCCAACTGCATGGGATTGCGTGGTCACCTATGTCTCGTTGAGTTCCAGTCGCAATGACTGTCGTGAAACTTCGTCAGCGCCACCTCCACAGTCATCATCTCAGCCATAGAGTAGGAACACTTGACTGACAGGAAAATATTGGGTTCTGGAGGAACATGTCGAAGCCTGCCACACGAGGTTCCTCTGGTTGTACACCATCAAAAAAAGTCAACAAACATATTCTTCCTTATAAGGGCAACCTAAGGATTACTATGTGGTGTTTGTTTTTTTTATTATTGTTTTTGTTTTTTTTTGGGGGGGGAGGATCTTCAGCAAACAATCGATGGGCACCATGCAGGTCGTGGAGTGCGGGCCCTAAACCCTAAACGCCAAATGGTAGCTGGAGGAGCTTACAAGGTTTTGAAAACCCTAAACCCTTAACCTTATACCCTAAAACCTAAACCCTCAACCTTATACCATAAACCCTAAACCCTAAACCTTATACCCTAAACCTTATACCCTAAACCCTAAACCTTATACCCTAACATTAGGGTGTTGTTCAACAGCGATGCCTTCTCGGGCTCGTCCACGTCCGGGGGCGGCGGAGAGCGAGACGTGGCCTTGTGGTCCGGTAGCTGTTTGAGCAGCTCTCCGTAAACCCTAAACCCCAAACCCCAAACCCCAAACCCCAAACCCTAAACCCTAACCCTAAACCCTAAATCCTAAACCCTCAAAAAGGTAGGGTTTAGGGCTTTGGTGCCATGGTCTCCGTAATCCTAGGAGCTGTGCAGCTTCGCAATGAAACAAAGACGGAGATAGATGCCCCATGATGGAGGACTGTAGTACTTCGCCGGTGTTCACAAGCAGGGTCGAGGGTCTAGGGCTTGTAGGCCAGCATGTGCGGCAGCCTAGGATTCCCTAAACCCGAAACCCGAAACCCGGAACCCCAAACCCTAAACCCCTCCCCTGGTCGTTGAAAGAAGAGGACAGCGCGTTTTTTCGCGACCCATGACGGCTTGTGGCTCAGGCGTACAAGAAACACTGCGCCCACAAGCCACCCAATAGGCCAGCTGGGCGTTTTTAGTTGATAGGGTTTAGGGTCTAGGGGTTTAGGGTTTAGGGGTTTAGGGGTTTAGGGTTTTAGGGTTTAGGGTTTAGGGGTTTAGGGTTTTAGGGTAACCAGGTTCTGGAAACCCAAACCGGGCTTTGTACGGCCAAGACAAAGCCGACGGTTTTTTATGGGTTCCCGACGGTTTTTTTTATGGGTTTTCCGACGGGTATTTACGGGTTCTATACGTCACATTTTGAAAGAACCCGGTTCTGTTAGTCAGAACCAGGTTTTTGACAAAATCTTCCGGAAAACCCGGTTTGGGGTTCCTGACCCACTTTTTTCTGGGTTCTGGGCGCCCAAGGTAGGGGTTATAGGGTTTCCTGCGTACTGGGTGCTGGATTTCGGGTTGAGGGATTGCGTGTATAGCTCGACACCACTAACATTCCTCAGCCCCAGTTTCTTCGCCTCGAGCAAAAATTCTATGAGACCCCTCTAAACTTCTATTGCCTCTCAAGAAGCCTGAACCCTGGCAAATTGCAGGGCTTTCCAGATTCACAAAATCCAAAAGCATCTGGGGTTAAGGGTTTGGGATTTAGGGGCTTGGGGTTTAGGATTTGGGGTTTAGGGAGCCCCCTGAATGACCCTTGTATTCGATTGAGGTGTCTAAACCCTGAACCCTAATGTTGGACCTGCTTTATTAGGGGGGGTCGCTTTAAAGTCAATTTGGCGGAATTATTCAGGACCCCCTCACTGTTTGAGGGGTCCGCTTTAAAGTCAAACCGAACCCGAAATCCGGCAATTTTTTTTAAGGATTTGGGGCTTGCTTTAAACTAAGTTAAAACATTCAATCCTCAATACCAGACCTCCAAATGCAAAACCCTCAGCCCTGCAGAAGCTCAGTATTCTTCTCAACCTGGGTCTCTCAAGCTTTTCAAAAAGAGGGCCCGTGCTGCCTCAGGCTGCAAGTTGATGACTGAGTTAATTATCCCTAAACCCGAACTCTTGGACTTCTGGACGTCCTAAGTTGCCTGAGGCAGCAGTCGTGGCCGGCCCTAGAGGGGGGATGTCCCTGAGCCTGGATTTGCTCAGGTTTCTTTGGCTGGGCAAGCTTCACTACCCTTCTGAGCCTCAATCGGCTGAGGCCTGTTGGCTTGAGTATCTCTTTGAGATACCGGGGGATGTTCCTGAGCCTGGATTTGCTCAGGTTTCTTTGGCACCGGAAGCCTCACTACCCTTCTCAGCCTGAATTGGCTCAGGCTTGTCACTACCCTTCTCAGCCTGAATTGGCTCAGGCTTGTTGGCCTTCAGCATCTCTTTGAGATACTGAGCGAATTCCGTGGGTCCTGCAGCAGGGCAATCGTCTCAAGCATGGGCTCACAAGTGCAAAAGGCTGATGGCAGAGTTGCAGTCCTGGTCGAAAGGGCAGCTTTCCCTGAGCAGCGGCCTCAGTGGTGAGGTGGTACCTCAGGGCTTTCTCAGCCTGGCACTGAGGACAGCCTGTCTGCCATCGGCAATTCTGGCAGATCCCTGGCGAGTGCTCTAAGGCCAGAATCTTGGCTGTGGCTTCTTTGCTGAGATGCTTCCCTGTGTCTAAGGCGTGCTGAGCTTTGGCTACCCTCTTCTCTGCTTCCTCTCTCTCTGCCTCAGTCTTCTTGTAGGCCTTGTCGATCTCAGCGATCCTCAGCTTCTGCTCCTTCTCAAGATGTGGCTTCATCTTGAGAAGCCTCTCCTTCCAAGTCTTAGCCAGAAGCCCAGGCCAAACCCTCAGCCATTCTCCTCGGGCCTGCCTCACTTCCTGCTCCATCCAGGCTAAGACATAGAACCCGCAGAGCAGTGACCCCTGAGGCTGCACTGCTGAGTTCGTCTTCTTGGGGAGGCTGAACTGAGGATCGAGCAAGCTCCCAATCCTGACCTGAGCCAAGGTGCAGGCCTCAATTGGCTGCTGAAGGCTGTCGTAGAGTCGCCACTGAAAGCCCTCGGTCGTAGAGTCGCCACTGAAAGCCCTCGGTCTGGTCTAGGGACTCTCTCTGAGCCACCAGCAAGGTCCAGTGCAAAGCCCTAACCACTGGAACCAGAAGCCTGAGGGCATTGCCGAAGGCTTGCTTAACGGCATTCTCACGTGGCTCAAGCAAGTGCTCAGGAAACTCGAAGAGCAAGTGAGGAAGGCCAGGGTCTAAGCACTCCACTGAGAACTCCTCAAAGGAGCCTGCCTTGGCTTTTCGCAAAGACCAGCTCATCATGGCCCAGCCCTGCCAGATCCACTGATCCTCCACTAAGAATGGCTTCTCAGTGTCAGGGAAGGGCACTAAGCCGTGGTCGGCATAGTCGTCGTGCCTCAGCTTTGGCTCAGGCCAGCAGGAGATGGCCCGGAGGATTGTTTGAGTATCTGCCCTGCTGAGGTATTTCAGCTGAGCCCAGACGAACTCAGCAGTCTTGGGCTCCCAAAGGGTCAGATGCTCAGACCTGATCTCGAAGGTGCCACTCACGGTCATGACAGTGTAGCGACCTGACTGGAAGTCTGAGGCAATGCCCTTAATGCCGAAGAGCATGTGGCCAGCAGCCTCAGAGACACAAATGACTTCTTTCTCAAGGAAAGGAGCCAGGGCTGCGGACTCAGTCTCTGTGGTCTCAGCTTTGGCCTTGGTCTCAGCTTTGGCCTGAGCCTTCTTCTCCTTCTTCTCCTTCTTCTTCTTAGCTGTGACCTTACCAATGACCTCGTCGACTGTGGCCTTCTGGTCGTGCTTCTTAGCTGCTTTCTTCTTAGCCGAAGCCTTCAGGAACTTGCTGGCCTTGCCCTTTGCTGAGGGCTTGTTCTTTGCTGAGGGCTTGGTGGTTGCACTCAGTTTCTGGCCTTTCGTCTCTGTCCTCACAGGCACCACCTCAGCCAGTGCTTCTGCACGACTGTTAAGCATCAGCTTTTGCCTCAAGCTTTGCAGAAGCTTGCCCCTGAAGGCTGTCCTGTGCTTGAGCCTCTCCCTCCTCACGGCTGCTTTTTTCCTGATCTCCTTGACTCTGTCAGCATAGCCCTCCTCAAGAGCTCTGCGAGCTGCTGCACGGCGGAGCTTTGGATGCAGCCTGAGGGAAAGGCTGTTCTGCAGACTCAGGTCCAGATCCTCTGCGAGCTCACCGTCTAAGTCAAAGCCTCCTTCCTCAGGCTCCTGTTCAAGGTCTTCCTCAGGGTTGAAGTAGTCCCACCTGATAAGGTCGGAGATCTGCTTAGCTGAGTCGCTCAGAGACCAGTCAGCCTGGATGGGTTTGCCTGCGTCGTCCAGCCACTTAAGCCTCTCTGAGAGCAGCTGGCTGGGAAGCGACGACTGCCCATCCTGAGGTCGAGCTCCTTAGCCCAGGGCTGCTCGGAGACCACCTCAAGCCTCCCAGTCTGAGGGTTAGGCCGATAGGCCAGAAGGCCATTCCTGACGGCTGCCCTCACGACCCAGGAGTGCTCTTCGTTCTTCTGCCTCAGCTGCTCCTCAGCCCAGACCACTGAGGTGACGATCTCAAGGGCACCCACTCGCCACACCTCAGACTTCCCTGAGAACTTTTGCTGCTCCTGAAACTCTGTTCTCAGGGAGGACAGCTTGTGCCTCACGGCACCCTTGAACTCCTTGGCGAAGTCTGAGTCCGTGATCTGGAGCTTAGACGTGCACTTCGCAGCAACTAAGCAGCTGATCTGCTGGGCTAAGGCCATCGACTCAGCAGCCGTGTCTGAGAACACGGAGCTGAAGCAGTCTCTCTGCCAGACTGAGCAAGGGTACTCAGTGGCCTGGCCCTCAATGACCCAGCTCAGGATCACGGAGTCGACGTTCGCAGCTGGCTGGCTCATGATGTCCAGCTTAGCGACCAGCTCAGGGTGAGCCTGCCTGAGCTTTCGATAGCTGAGCAAGATCTTGCCGACTGAGGCACCAGCTGAGTGAACCTTCTCCTTAGCACCGACCCTGAACCTCTCAGTCCGGATCCACTTGCCGTCCTGAGAGATGTTGCTGAGGCGAGCCCACTGGCCGGGCACCACCAGCAGCCCCTTGCCCACTAAGCCGACGACTGGCTTGCTGGGCTCATCCAGAACCTGAAGAAGCACCTGACGAGCCTCGTAGGTAATTCTGAATCTTTCGTCGGCTGAGAAGCCTAAGGTGGTCTTAGCTCCGGCCTTAGGCAATGCCTTCTTCTGTTTCTTCTGAGGCTGCTGATGCTCAGGGCCTTTCTGACTGTGCCTGAACATCTGCTGCTGCTCCTCCTCAGCTTTGTCCTCGGTCTGCAGAGGTTTCTCTGGGCTAAGGCTGCTGAAGCTCAGGGCCCTTCTGACTGTGCCTGACCCTTCTGAGCCGAAGCTGAGGGCTTTCTTTACTCCGGGAGTGCTGTCACCTGTGCTGCTGATGGGAACCACTTGAAAGGTTGCATCTGAGTCAGTCCTCATGGCATCCTGAATGGCTTCCCTGATCTCAGAAAAGTCTTGAATTGTCTCAGGTGAGTGGAGCTCCTCCTGGCCTTAGCCCACAGCGGCACCTGATCAGAGAAGCCGATGGCTAAGTGACTCCTGTGCTTCACGAAGTCCTCAGGGTCGGAAACCCTCTTCTCAGCAGAGAGCTCAGCAACGGAGCTCAGGCTGGCCAGCCAAAGGCACCAGTCGAACTCCTGCCAGGTGAGCTTACACCTGACCTGAGACTCCAGGCTGCTGATGTTGCTCACGACCTCTGAGGTGGCGAACTTAGCCTTGCTCCACCTGAGGAGTCTCTTAGTGAAGCTTTTTTGGTAGGTTTTGCTTTTGCTAAGCTTCTCAGCCCTGCCCTCTTTCTCGTCAGCATCCTGCTTCAACTCAGCCACCTTCAGGTTGCTGAGGCCCGGCTCCTCTGCCCGAAGACGAGACTTAGTGGCCGAGAGCCTCAGCTGAAACAAGAACTCCTGAAAGAAGTCCAGCTGGCTGATGGTGTGGCCACAGGCTCGCTCAATAGCCAGCCACTGAGAAACTGTCTGAACGATGTCCGGGTAAGGCTGCTTCCGGCCAGCCCCCGAAATTCTCACTCGTCTCTTGTTCCTCAGGTTGCGTCTCAGAAGAGGCGTCTTGCTGATGGCAGCATACATCTCGCTTTGGTTCAGGATCCTGCGGAGCTGTCTCTTACTCAGGCCATGCTTTTCCGTCATGGCGACCCAGAACTTCCTCTGAGTGCTAAACTGAGACTTGGACTGACACAAGTCGTCAGCAATCAGCTTCTTTCGATTGGCTGTCAGCTCGGTTCGACCGTTCTGAGGCTTCCTCTTGGTGGACTCAGAAGCGACTCTTGTGAATCTCTTCCCCTGAGTCAGTCGTCTCCGCTTGGCTATCTCATGAGCCCGGTCTTCATTCTCCTCAGCCTCCTTCTCAGCCACAAGAGCTTCAAAGGCCAGCTTAGATGCTTCGAACTCGAGCTGAGCCCTGCTCTTGTGGCTCCTCTGGTAACCTGTCGACTGCAGCTCGAGAGGCTGAGCAGATGCCTTCTGCTCAGGTGTTCCGAAGAACTTCGTGAGGCCATACTGCAGAACTTTTCGTGCTGTGGACTGAGGAGTGCTCACGATCTGCTGAGAAGCTGGGCTCGCGGTCTGCTGAGAAGCCGGGCTGCCCTGCTGTGGCTTCTCAGGTGTCTTGGCGGTTGTTTCTGAGGGTGGCCCACCCCCTCTTGCTCTTACTTGGAAGGCCTGTGCTCAGGCAAGATGAAGGCCTTAATTACTTTGGGTTTCCTTTAGAGATTAGGGTTTTTTTTCTTAGGAGATCGTGTCGCAGATGGCCCCCCAATAATGGGACTGATTCGGGACCCTCTTTAATGTCAAGGCCCCGGCCCGGAGCCCCGATTTCGGAATCCCGGCTGTTTGCCTTTAAAGGCGAGCCTTTTGATTTTAAAGCCGGGCCTCAGGATTTCAAAGGCCGATTTCCGGAATTCCGACCGGCCCGAAACCAATATTTTCCTTTAAGGAAACCTTTTGAAAAATTGGTCCCCCTCAATCCGGCAAGGGGGTGGTCCAGGGCCCCCCTTGGACCCGGAATAATGGGACTGATTCGGGACCCTCTTTAATGTCAAGGCCCCGGCCCGGAGCCCCGATTTCGGAATCCCGGCTGTTTGCCTTTAAAGGCGGGCCTTTTGATTTTAAAGCCGGGCCTCAGGATTTCAAAGGCCGATTTCCGGAATTCCGACCGGCCCGAAACCAATATTTTCCTTTAAGGAAACCTTTTGAAAAATTGGTCCCCCTCAATCCGGCAAGGGGGTGGTCCAGGGCCCCCCTTGGACCCGGAATAATGGGACTGATTCGGGACCCTCTTTAATGTCAAGGCCCCGGCCCGGAGCCCCGATTTCGGAATCCCGGCTGTTTGCCTTTAAAGCTTAGGGCACGGTCTAGGGTTTAATTAATTAGGGTTTAGGGTTTAGGGTTTAGGTTTCATTAGGGTTTAGGGTGTAAGCAATTACTACTACGACGACGACAGGGTTTAGGGTTTAGGGTTTAGGGTTTAGGGTTTAGGGTTTAGGGTTTAGGGTTTAGGGTTTAGGGTTTAGGGTTTAGGGTTTAGGGTTTAGGCTTTAGGGTCTAGGGTTTAATTAGGGTTTAGGGTTTAGGGTTGAGGGTTTAGGGTTTAGGGTTTGGGGTTTAATTAATTAGGGCTTAATTAGGGTTTAGGGTTTCTTTAGGGTTTAGGGTCCCAAATCTTGAAGCTTAGTGGCTTCTGCCTCAGTGTTCCACTCAGGCAGCTGGCCCGGAGCCTCAGGCATCCTGCTGAGGCCTGCGAAGCTCACCTCGAGGCACTGAGCCTTAGTTCAAGGTGATTATTAATTTTGGCCTAAAGCTAAGAACCCCCTAAACCTAAACCCTCAACCCTTATTAAACCCCAAAGCTACTGACTAAGTGCCTGTCTTAGCAACTTTTTCGTGAAGGGACCTCAGGCGGCTCTCAGTCTGGTGATAGAGGTGTCGTGCTGAGGACCAGGATGCTAAGGCAGACATCCTGGTCTGAATGGGTGCCCTAGATGCCAAAAACCCAAGACCCTAAACCCAAACCCTAAACCCTAAACCCTAAACCCTCAACCCTAAACCCTAAACCCTAATTAATGAAACCCTAAACCCTAAACCCTAATTAAACCCTAAACCCTAATTAAACCCTAAACAAACCCTAAACCCCAAACCCTAACAGTCCAGGCTGCTGCTGAGAAGTAGAGCTGAGCAACCTCAGGCCTCAACAGGTTGCTCAGCACCTTCTCGTGCTCGGGCGTGGACTCAGTGCATCCATCGAGTGCCTGAGTTCAGGGGTTTTGCTTAGTTAATTACTGGACTGACTCAGAAATGCCTCAGTTCTGCTGCGGCACTCTCAGGAATCTCCAATAGAAGACTTCTGATTTCACACTGAGGATGGCCGTGCTGAGGAGCACATCCCACTCAGCTCGAAAAGCCTAAGCTGAGCAAGGTTTGGGTTTTAATTAATTAGGGTTATCAAAACCTCAGCAAAACTAGAACTTAGTGCAACAGGGTGGCCTCAGGTTCCCAAGCAGTCTGCTTCCCTAAGGAAGTGCGAACCCTCAGGAACATGTCCTTCAGGATCTGAGCACCACCTGCCTGAGAATTGCTTTCGGAGGTTAATTAGGGCTTAGAGTTTAATTAGGGTCTAGGGCATAATTAATTAGGGTTTAGGGTTTAGGGTTTAGGGTTTAGGGTTTAGGGTTTAGGGTTTAATTAGGGTTTAGGGTTTAAGGTTTAGGGTTTAGGGTTTAGCGTTTAGGGTTTAGGGTTTTAGGGTTTCATTAGGGTTTAGGGTTTAGGGTTTAGGTTGTAGGGTTTCGTTGGTCTGAGGGTTGGCTTACTGAGGAGTTTCCTCATGCTCAGCCTCAGGGTCGAACTCGTAGAAGACCTGGCTGAGGTGCCTCAGGGCATCCCAGGAATCTCCTGAGGAATGATCTTGGCCTCAGATTGCCAAGAATAGTAAACCCCTAAACCCCTAAACCCCTAAACCCCTAAACCCCTAAACCCCTAAACCCCTAAGCCCCTAAACCCCTAAACCCCTAAACCCCTAAACCCCTAAACCCCTAAACCCCTAAACCCCGAAACCCCTAAACCCCTAAACCCCTAAACCCCTAAACTACTAACCCTAAACCCTAAACCCCTAGGAGTTGTGTTAATTGACGGATAAACTAAGACCAACCTAAGGCGTTTAAGGGCTCAGGGCTTTAGGGGTTTAAGGGCTTAGGGAATTCTGGGTTTGTGGGTTTTCCTTAGGTGCTGCCTGAGTCTCGGCGCTCAATGTGGGAGACCCTGTCTGAGATAGCACTCAGCCATTCCTCCTCGAGGGTTTAGGGTTTAGGGTTTCATTAGGGCTTAGGGTTAATCAAGGTTTCGGGAGAGGGTCTGGGGCTTAATTAGGGCTTAGGGTCTAATTAGGATTAAGGTTTTTGGGCTTGCATGGAGGCTCAGGGTGCTCGCTCAGATCTGAACTGAGACATGTGTCCTGAGCTTTCAGGTACCACAGGACGTCACTCATGAACTTGTAAGTCTTGAAGGCGACCCCCAAGACGAAGCTCGGGACGAAGATCTGAGCCTGAGCACGGCTGAGGGAGCTTGTTCTTCAGGGTTTGCTGAGGTTTCGCAAACCCTGCAGGGTGCACTTAACCCTAAACCCTTGATTAAACCCCAGAATGCAGCTGAGCAACCCAGACTGAGGCGTCAAAACCCCAGTCCTTGAGCTGAGTCACCAGAACCGACAGCTCTGAGGTGACTGGACCTGAGATGCGAGAACATGCAGAATTCAAGGAATGCTGAAACCCACTGAATTCATTAATTATGGCTTCACTGAGGCACTCCTTTTCGCTCAGGCCTG